CACAAGGTCACAAAAGACAAACGCTTTCAAAAGCAAAGCCCAGACCCCCCGCTTAATTGCAGCCCCCAGCAGAGTGCGGTTGCATTGTTCTCCGCAACCGGCAACTTGGCCAGAGCCTGGCAGGGGAGGGACAGGCGACTTCCCAGTGGGTCACGGGCCTGATGACCGGAAGCCCAAGCAGCAGCTCTGCTGCTCCTGTCCCCACCCCCAGGCCCTTTGGGAAGGGATAGGAAAGCTGCTCCTTCTCCCCCCCCCCCCCCTCTCCTCGCTGCTGTGCTGACTTTCCAGCCATGACATCGTCCCTTGGACACGTGGGCCTCGGAGCCAGAGGGGTGGGCAGTGCCGGGCCCGGCGTCTCCGCGTCCCCAGTGGACGGAGCATGCATCCTGGTCTACCTGCCGAGGGCTCAGACTCCGCGTGGCTGCCGTGAGTCAGGTCCACCAACACTCGGTTCTGCTTCCCTCTAGTTACAGTCCTGCATTCTGGGCCAAGGCCTATAATTAATTGGGCTCCATCTGTGCCAAACATGAGTAAGATTTAAGATCCCGTGGTTGCCACCCATCTTTAAGTCCATGAGTCAGTCCCCCGGCTTTTTTTTTTTTTTTAATTATTATTAATTACCTGTGTTTTCTGAAGAAGACTGTTAGCACTGTGACTGAGCGGCAGCATAGTGCTGACTGTTGCCTGCTGTGGCCCCTCAGGATGCACCTCTGAGTGCACCCCACTTTCCAACCCGGGGGCGGCCAGATAAGCTCTGGACGCGTGAGCATGACAGGTGACGACGCAGGGACTCCACGCAGGCACGACGGAGCAGTGGACGCTGGTGTGCCTGCCCCTGAAACACACAAAAACACCATGTGCAGTCGTGGTTCCCGGGGCCCTGGCCTGCAGGCCGTGGGGGGCGGTTCCCGAGGCAGCGCAGAGGGAGGTGAAGCTGTGGTGGACCCGGCTCGCTGCCTTGAGAGTCGGCATGCCACGCAGGTGGAGGGCGAGCTGCGATGGAGCCCAGGGGGTTCCTGGAGTTGAGCTGAGAGTCCGGGAGGCAGGCAGTGCCCAGGAACCCTGCGTGGGGAGCCTGGGCTGAATGGGGAGGCCTGGGCTGTGTGGGGAGGCCTGGGCTGCGGGGACAGGGCGCAGAGACCTGCATGGACAGGGCCGTGGCCGCAGAGACCTGCTGGCCGTCTCCATGGCGTGCAGCAGAGCCCTGATGGGTGCGTGTGGGAGGCCCCCAGTGCTCGCCCAGGGCAGCACGAGGCCTGTCCCACCAGCCGGGCGGGAAACTGCTGATCATGAGGCGGGCGTTTAATGCACAGTCAACCTCGCTGTGATCTGATGGGGAAAGGTGGGCCCTGTCGGCAGCTGAAGAAGCTTCTGGAGGGGCAGAATGAGCAGCAGCAGGTAGAGAGGAGGGAGGGGCTGCTGGATCCCAGCCCGGCGTCCGTGGCAGGGGGCAGCATGTCTCGATTCGCAGTGGGTAGCAGTGGCTTTGAAGTCACATAGGAGCCTCAGCTGGAGAGAAGGCAAAGTATCTGTTCAGAGCCCAGAATAAAGGCCTGGGTGCATAGGTTTGTTTTGGGGATTTAAGCTCTCTGAAGGAGAGTTGTCATAGTTACCTGCTTGTTTTTACCTGTTTTCCTGAGATCTGAAGCCCGTGGAATTAGAATAATTCTCCCCCGTGAAGTTTGTGTCGGTGCCAGCAGGCCGCTGGGCTGCCCTCCTCTGGTGCCCAGGGGCCCCCGATTTCCTTCCTCGTCTCTTGGTGCTGCCAGGGCCTGTGCAGGGGGCTCGTGATTGGAAAACCGGGGCTAACGTAGCTTCCTCAGCCACTTGCACTCAGGACCACTGTGATCTAGACCTCCGTCAGACCCGCCCACGGACAAGGCCCCACAGCCTGCCCACGCCTGACTCGGTGCAGCCACCCGCTCCGCACCCCCAGGCCATTTCTCCCCAGAGAAGCCCGCCCAGAGCCTGCTGGAGGCTGACCTGTGCCTCCATCCATGAGTGGATCCGTCACGACCACGATGGTGGACAGTGGCAGTGCCGCTGACATACACGTTTTCTAGGCCTTTGATAAGGTGGATGAATAGGCACCAGGCCTGGCTCTGTCCCTCAGCGGTCGTTTTGTCCTGGACAAGCCACTGTCCCCGCTGTCCTTGCAGCCTCAGCTACACACGGCCTGGGCTGCGGTGCCAGGGTCCTGCCACCATTGGGGACATGGGACATGCCTGTGGTTAGTTTACACTTGGGAAGCTGAAGTCCAGAAGCATCAGCCCCGCCTGTACCACCTCTAGGCTGTGAGCCTGAGGGAATGCGGGATAATAAATTCTACAGGCACTGGCAGAGTTTTGGTTCCACGTAATGATTGTTTCTATTGATATCTTAATATCTTGAAGTTCGCTGCCTGAATGCCGACTGACAGGTCACCACGCGGGAGGCTGAAGAAGCGACGTATTTACCCCAAACACACGGGCAGCTAGTCTATCTCAGTGTGATGAGAAATCCACAGTAATTTGAATCATTGCTCCCCTCTAAGTAATGCACCTTTCTTTTTCCCTGCATGCTCTCAACATTCTTTGTCTTCAGTAAGTTTGAGTATGAGCCGCTTGAGTGTGGACTCCCTGGATATCTTGTTGGACATTTTCTCAGCTCCTTAGATCTGTAGGTTCATGTCTTTCATCACTCTTGGACTAGTGTTAGCCTTGACTTCCTCAAATGCCTTTGCATCCATTTACGCTGTTCTCTTGTTCTAGAGCTCCAATGACACAAACCTTTTGTGATTGTCCTGCAGGTCCCTGAGGCTCTGTCCTTTGTGTCTTCCACATTTTTTCCTCTGTTGCTCAGATTGGATTGTTTCTATTGATCTATCTTCAAGTTCGCAGCCTCTTTCCATTCTGCTAATGAGTCTATTTAGTGTGGCTTTTTGTTTATTAGTTATTATATATATATTTGGTTCCTCTTTATATTTTCTATAATTTTACAGTCTATTTTACTCTAACACTTTATTCTGTTTTCATACTGTTCTATTTCCATTTTGATATTTGTTTCAAAAGTGTTATAGTCTATTTTAATACTTCAAGTGTTAATTGTTTTAGCATTTTTATAACGCTTTAAAGTCTTTGTCAAATGCTTTCAACATCTGTATCATTTTCTTATGTATTCTCTTATCTCATGTGAGTTGAGACTTTTGTCTTTGTTTGGATGCCCACATTGTGGATTGTATCCTATTTTAAATATTACATTATAAGGCACTGTGTCTTGTTGAAACCCTACAGAGAATATTGACACTTTTATTTTAGTAAGCAGTTATGTTGGTTAGGTTCAGGCTGCAGCTTAGAATTATAAGTTCAATGTCAGGTCAGATTCAAAGCACTTGCAATGCTGTCCCGATCTCTCTTGTGTGTCCTCCAAGGGTCAGTCTGGGATCTGGGCAGAGGTTTGTTAGCTCAGTTCTTCCCGATTCATTATCTTCCCACTACTTCCTGGTTCCCTGGGTATACCATTTTCTGTCTGGCCATACACTGCTTTCTTCCACAGTTGTCTTAATTGGGCCAGACATGGTGAGGACAGAGAAGAGAGTTTTGGCTGCAGACTCCTGTTGCAGCCGCTGTTGCCACCCAGACTGCTGGGGCCACAGAGAGCTGAGGAGAAGGATAGAAAGTCCCCATGTTTCACCTCTTCTCTGTGCTTGTCCTGGGATGTCCTCTCCGTTCCCCAAGCCTGCTCACTCCGGGGGTTTGGGTTTGTTGAGTCCTGCTGGGCTTCCTGGAGGAGAGGAGTGGTACCGTCACCACCACTTCCTGGGCTCTGGAGCCATCTCCTTCCCAGTCTGTCTGCTGCTGTTCCCTTTTCCTCGTTTCCCGGTGGCCGTGCTGTGTGTGCTGTGCAGGTGGCATAGTTGCATTGGGAGGGAGAGCAGGGGAGCGTGTCTCTTCTCTCTCATCCGGAACTGGAGTCTCTGATATTGTTTACAGTTTTTATTTTCTAATTAACTCGGTTTTTACATGCAGGACCATAGTTGGCGTGGTCCGTAAGAGTTCCATTAAGTGGCCAAATCACAGAATTTTCAACTAATTCTCTTGGCTTTGCTGATGCCTATGTTTATGTCCATTCCACATGATGCTATTTTGGTCCCTCCCTCTGATTGCGTGATGGTCACTATATTTTCTGTTTGCACCTTCTGACTAGCCTGGCAAGGAAATGAGTCTTACTGTTACACCTTTGGAACCTGCTGGGTGATCTTCTTGGAGCCCACAGTCCCCTGGAAGGGCTGGGCGGGGCAGTGGGTGTGGACGCAGCTCCGCGGACCTGCATGAGGCACATTTTGGGGAACCTCAGTGCTCGCCTCAGGCATAACTGGACCTCAGCCACATTCCCAAACAGCTTGAGCTCACCCAGTTGGGTGTGATTTCGGGACACATTTCCCTGCAGCTCTTTGAAGAGGCAGATCTTTGCAGAATGCACGCCCCATGCAGCTGGGCTGGCAGCTGGGCGAGGCACATGTGGGGAGCGGGGTGGCGAAGGTGCAGCATCCACCTGGAAGTGTAGTGACCCCGTGACCTTCCTGTCACTGTGGTTAAGAAATCTCAGCCTCTTCTCAGAACTGGGCAGTGACGGGCCAGCCTGGGCTGCTAGGTCCAGTGGAAGGAACACTTGCGCAGGGGTTCACCTGAGGCCAGCCTGGTGCCAGCCTCCTGCCGGGGCTAGGCTCCAGCTCCCTGGGTCCTGCCGCAGTGACCCCTGCGCCTCCCTGAGCCCCCGTTACCTCGCCTGTAAGGGCAGGCTGTGGGAAAGAGTGACAGATGCGCAGGAGACTGCAGAGCCCCCGCCATGACTCCCTCGTGCTCCCCACCAGCTGCCGCTGTCCCCATCGTCAGCAGCGTCCCGTGGGGTGGGGCTGAGGCTTGCATACCAAGGCCACAGGCAGCCTGACACTCAGGGTGCCCAGCCAGCGGGCTGAGTCAGGGATGGGCCCACCGACCACTGTCTCCTCCGCCTTGCAGGTCACCTCCAACGAGAAGCACCTGGAGAGCCTGAAGGGCGCGGGCAGCCTCCTGCGGGCGCTGCAGCGGCTGACTCCGGCTGACGGGTGAGTAGGCCCAGGAGGGCCAGTGCAATCCATTGGGCTCATTCTTTTCTCTCCTCTGTCCCCCCATCCCCTCTACACACCAGGAACCCCCATCTTCCAGAAGGATCTCAGTGCCGGTCATTGCCTGAGATCCCTCCCAGTGTGGGAAGCATCATCGCTGTGTCTCTTATCTCTTGCCCTCCCCCTACTGTGCAAATGAGGGCTGCCAACAGGAAGAGGGAGGAAAATCAGAACATCTTAGCCCCCCAACATCCCATCCATAGGAGACAGAGGTGAGGAGGGAGTGGACTAGGCCCAGTTGGGAGGGGACAGCAGGTGGAAGATGTGATGGTCCCCAAAGAAAGGCAGTCGGTACCCAGTCTGTGTACACACACCGCATGCCAGCCTGGCCACAGGCGACATTACCGCCACCTGGATTGGAGGTCAGGGAAGGGCTGGGGTCAGAACCGACAGCCCGGCCTGCCCGGCAGCACCAGGCCGCCCACTTGGCCAGAAGGAAAACTTGGAACCTACAGAGCAGAGTGTGGGACTCTCAGAATCCGAGTGTGAGGTTAGCGCTGCCTCCCAGTCCCCACTGTGCAGGGTCTAGAACATTCTAGAACTGAGGTGCAGACCAGGCAGCCCTGTCATGTCAGGCAAATGCTCAGTGGGGTGAGTGCTGCAGGGAGGGTTCATTCTGCAACGACACGCACCCCCACCCGCACTCTGAACGTGAGAGGTGGTGACAGCTGGTGGGGGTTGAGCTTATATTCTGTTTACCTACATGTTAGTGCCACGTGACAAAGGGGACACACGGGATGAAGTTGTCCCCAGGCCTCCATGCGTCCCGCCAGCGGGCTCACAGCTCAGCGCTCACCGAGCCTGGCAGGCACGCGGTGGGGAGGTTTGGTGGGTGGTGAATGCAATGACCCCTCCTCCCTAGGCCACATCCCCCGTGCGGAGGGAGGTAGCCAGAGGTGTGTGGCCAGTCCTGAGCCCCCCTGCTGTCGGTCCACTTATAAGTGGACACCTGCCTCCACTGCACGCTTCCTGGCGGTGGCCAGGACCACAGGGTTGGATGGAGCGGTTCTGGTGCTTTGGGGTGGGCGGTAACTTGAAGAAATACCTGATTGCTGAGCGAGTCTGTGGTGGAGGCTGGGCCCCCTTCATCCTTTTTGTACTTAATCCTGAATTGGGTGGGGGAGGGGGCACCACCTCCTGGGCTACCCACCCGCCATGGTTCCTGTGGGTGAGGGGAAGGACAGGCCCACTGGTGGGAGGCCCCGCCTCAACCGTGTCAGCCTGGTGTGAGGGCAGACAGGGCCTCGGGCTGCGCCACGAGGACTGGTTCGGAGGAGCATACGCAGCCTCCCGCAGGAGTTGAGTTGGGCAGCGGAGTTGAGTGGCCGGCTCCCGAGAGCCTTCCCCCCTGCCTGCGGGCTCTCCTAGCGGGCCTCAGCCAGCCTTCAGCGCAGGCCAGTGCGGCCTCAGGATGCACCTCAATCTGGACCAAATCCCAAAAAGAGGACAGGGCTCCCTGGAGCCGGTGGCCTCCCCTGCACCCCCACCCGCACCCAGCACTCCAGGCAGGTGGGCGGTTACTGTTGTGAAGCTGCTCAGATGGCGGAAGAAAGGGCTTCTTAATGTTGACCAAGAGTGAATGGCGGTGTTCTCGGCTCTGTTGGCTCTGCCACAGGTGGACGTGCCCTTTGCCAGTCACTGGCCTTCCCCAGGCGGCTCCCGTGGGCAGGGCAGTCCCTCGGGACCTTGGCTGCGCAGCCCGTCTCCTGCCCTGTCCCACGGAGGCCCCCCACCCCCCCGATGCAGCCCCCTCCCGATTGTTTGACATCGGCTCCTTCTGTGTAGGAGAAAGGTGCCACGAGCTAATTTCATGTTCAAGGTGAACACTGCTGTGTGTCATTCTTTTCTTTGCTAATAGTTGTTAGGGCACAGGCTTAAATGTGTTTGCTCTGGTGACAGTCTCCATTTCAAGCTCTGAATGGCACACACACATCTGTGAGAATAAGAAACCCAGGATTCGTGGCTGATGGGCCGGCCAGCGGCAACACGGAGGAGAGGCAGTCTTCGGGCTGGGCTGGGCGGGCTCCTCGGTGTTTGGTACAAGTCAGCTGTGGGCCGGCTGAGCAGGGTCTGGCTGCCGTGGGACCTGCCTTACAGCTCAGCATCTGCACTGGCCCAGGGGTTCATGTGCCGAGAGATGGTGGGCCAGGAGCTCAGGCCTCGATTAGGGGTGCTGGTGGGGCCCGGTCTGAGCCCCACTGGGGTTGTGGGCTGACGGGTTCGCACCTCAGCCTGGGAACTCGGTCTCTGTGTCTCCAAGAGACTGCGGGGGGGGGGGGGGGGGGGGGCGCCCTAGGAAGCAGCTGGTCCATCAGACACCAGCCTCTTGGAAGGAGCGGCACTGCAGCCTGACTTTGTTTCCCTCACAGTTCGTCTGCCGACAGCGCGGTGTCCTCCTTGGCCCTGGAAATCCTTCAAACTGTTGGGACGCTAGGCGAGAGGGCACCAACCTCAGCTGCACAGGCAAGACCGGATCTGGCACACCCCAGCCGTCCCCACTCCCAATAAAGCCAGCTGACCCAGAGCCTGCGGCTGAAGTGCTCTCCCTCTCTCTGGGCCCTGGAAACCGCCTCCGAGTCCAGCCCTCGTCCAGGGGCACACCCTGCAGAAATGCCAGTGCTCCAGGAACACTGGCTTCCTGTGAGGTCTGCCCATCTCGGTGGGTTGATGGCATCAAAGAAGAATTGTCCCCCCAACTTCTACCGGCCACTCCCAAACCCTTGAACCTCTTCAGCTTCTCCCTATGTTCCCTCACACACGCCAGAACCTCCTGGGGGCCGGGCCCATGCACACCTGGTGGACACTGCAGATGCTGGGCTGTTGGACCGAGGAATCTGGCCTGGAAGGTGGGATGGGTCCCAGACAGGTCAGACTAGGGGAGCAAGTTGATGCAGCCCCAGGTCTCTGGGGCCTCAGTGTCCGATCTGCACAAGGAAAGGCTGGACCAGGCCAACAGCTGCTGCCCCTCCAGCTGTGGGCTGCGCTTCTGGGAGAGGACGTGCCCCGCCTAGGTGGGCAGTCCCCTGCAGAGCGTAGCCCCTTTGCCACAGTGACCAGGGTACTTTGCCAAGTTCACTGGGGTATAAGGCAAGCAGCAGCTTTGTGCCAACTCTCCAAGGCATGTCTGTCAGTCCCCACCACCACCTGCGAGGCAACTTCTCCACTTTCAGACTACTTGCAAGGCGCTGACCTCAGGACTCTGACTCCCTAGCCCTGTGTCTCCTGTGGGTGTGCAGAGCTTGAGCTGTAAACAGCTGGGGTGTAAGAGGCTGTCCCCTGAGCAATAGGCAGTTTCATTTGATCGCTCATACCTTACGGTGAGGCGGCGGCACCCCAGTGGCCTGGCCTGGCTGGGGTAGGAGCTGGCTCACGGAGCAGCCAGAGTCCTGGCTTTTGGCTCCAGCTGCTTTGCCTCTGGGGCACAGATCTCATTTTCCCAGACAACCCGTTCTCTCCCGTGATTCAGTTCCCCGGGGAACCACTTGAGTTCTGGGTCTTAGAGAGCTCCGAGAAGGTATTTCAAAGACTGGAAAAGCTACTTCTCCCTTTCCATCAAGCAGGGAGGCGTCTGTGCTGTTGAAAGTAAAACAGGGAGGACTTACCATTCCTACACACCTTGCCGAGCTGACCACTGCTGGCCCTGAGCCCACAGCACTGCATGTTGAGAAAAGGCAATCTGCAGGAGGCAAGATGGAGGTCCCAGCAGGGCTACTGCCCTGCCAGCGGTGCTCAGCCCAGGGTGCCGGCACTAAAGCCAGCCTGTGCTAAGCCTGTTCTCTGTGTGAGGCTATGTCCTTCTGGACCTAGGGGATCCTTTTTGTTATTCTCACAGAATGTCAAACAGAAGCAGCAGCCTTAGTTTAATGAAATCGAGGTAGGGCGCCAGCAGGCTAGCGGCCGCAGAGACCCTTCCCTGCTTCTCGGCCGGGGGGGGGGGGGGGGGAGAGGCTTCCCAGGCTGCTCCAGTGCTGAGAAAGGAGCTGGCCCCTAGCCCCATGGGAGCTCACAGGATTCTGAGTGTAAGGGGTCCAGACCCAGGTACCTGCTGGCCCCCCCTTCCCACCACCTTCAAGCTTCACCAACGGACACACCACGGGGACAAATGGTGTCCCTGAGGTCGGCAGCCAGAGCACAGGGGCCGGGGAGCGGCTCACAGGACCTCCCTCCGCCTTCCCCTCGACTACGCCCCAGGCAGTGAGACTGGGGCAGTGAGACCGTGCCTGAGACCTTGCTGGGAGTAGATGGAGGACTGTGCCTGCCTGTGAGAACCCTCGGGGGACTGGCTCCAGGTGGTCAGAGAAGAAGTGAGAGTCACATGGGCAGCTGAGGAGGTAAGTCTGCTGGGTGCAGCCACAGAATCGACTGCATGATGGTTCGCATTCCTTATTACCATGAGGTTTACTGTTACCTGATGAGGTTCCAGGTCAGCTCTGTGAATGTAGGGAAGCTCAAAGTGGGGGCGCTAGTGGCTCAGGCTCTTGTCCAAGGGGAGGTGGTCTCCCCTGCCTCCACTTGAGGCAAGATGCCAGTGTTCCTCCCTCCCCTAGCAACAGAAACAGGATGCAGAAATAAATCTCTGCATACGGATCTAGGCAGTGGCTGAGGTAGGAGCCTTGGGAAAGGGGGAGGAAGCTACAAAATCCCGAAGAAAGGGGCTGGGCCATGTGGGTTGTCTGGAGTGGGACGGGAACCAGACTGGACAAAGGTTTGGAGGCTCCGGCTTGGTGGGGCTGAGGAGGGAAGCGTGGGAACAAGAACAAGGGAGCGGAGTGCTAAGGGCAGGCTGGCTGACAGCCCACCTCTGGCCTCTTGCTGGAGGCGGTCAGGGAGGCCCATCACCCCTCGCCTGCTGAGTGGACACCACACAGGAGGAGAAAAGAGACTCCACCTTTTCTGCCTCACCTCACCCCTCCATTTTGTAACTGCCTTGGGGGGGCCTGATCCTCTCAAGGAAGGAAAAGCAGCGAGATTCTCGCCTGCTAGAACAAAACCACCATAGCCCATCCACTCAGCTCTTTACCAATTAAACAGAACAACACAATTCAGACTTGTTTTTATTACAGTAATCAAAACAATTAAGAAGCTTGTTTACCTTAAGATCTTTCACTGTCAAGGACTCAAATAACCAGATCAAAGTCTCATGTCTAAAGCCTCTACTTCAACAGAAAGCGCCCCTCTTCCCTCAATGCAGTGGGATCAAGTGTCCTGTGAGCTCCATCCCCAGGTAACGGCTCTCCTGGTTGTGTAGTGATCTAAGAACTCCTTGCTTTTCAGTTTGCCCATCCATGGATGAGTCCTTAATAGACTGCCCTTTTTTGGATCAGTGTAGCCCCCTTCGGTATGCATGTATGACTTCCTTTTGTCTAATGTTATGAGATATAGTCAAACTATTGTGCAAAGCTGTTGTTTTTAACTGCAGGAAGGCCACTCTCAACCTTGAGGCAAAAGAAAAATACCGAGAGTTTTATTTAAAATTGATAGTTTGTTGACTGTCATGGATTTTTTTCTGCGTTAACTTCAATTTTATCCAAATGGCCACCCACAGAAAGTCAGAAACCACCCTCCTAAGCACATACCACTCTTTTTAAAGACCAAATCACAAGTCTTAACAGGTCTTCTGACTCTGCCCTCAGGGAGGAAAGCTGTGAGACCTACCGCCAGGATGACAGGCTCACCTGGCAGGTAGCTGGAAAGGCCCATTCTGGGTCTATGTTCAGATAAACATCTACACTTAAACCAACTTAATTATCAGTTCAAAGTGGAGTAGAAGGAATTCCCCTCTCCAAATGAGTCACACTTAGATGAAGGTGCTTGGGATCTAAAACCCAGGTAGCTAATTTTTCATTCTTACCTTAAGATAGCAAGTGTGGGGTGGGGAATTCCTATTGGCTTTCAGTTTTGCTCTATGCAGCCCAAAGACCAGCTAGATGCCTTCTGGTCACTTGGGCAAGATGACACACATGGCCCAACTGAGGCCAGCTGAAGTCTTGGCCGTAGGGTCTAAGCCCAGTCCTTCAGCTGGAGAAGGTGGCCTCGTGTTCATGGCTGAAGCCCTGCTGGTGCCATGCTGGAGAAACGGGGCCGGCATTCCCATCTAAGGCAAAGGTTCTGCCTTTGACCACTTAGGTCACTATGTACGGGACTATACTGTTACCCTTATAACATAGTTTGCTAACAAGGAAAAAGGTGACACAATCGAATGAATTAAAAGTTTAATTCTGAACAATTTTTATAACTGCATTTTCTCTTGAAGCATTGAATCACAGCAGGTTACAACAACTTTGGGATAAAAGGCAACTGGTAAACTGTCCAAAACAAGGTTCCAAATAACACCTTACTGATTTACCTACCCATACATATCCCAAATAAAGTTTTCGATCAAAAACATGAAATAGATCCACCTGCTTATTTTAAGCATATTAAAAAGGAAACTAATTGGACCATTTCTATTTGTCTATTTTATACAAAAAGGCTACACAATGTTACACTTTATTCAGATTACAATTAGAGTGATTATGAATTAGTGTTCTACACCATTACTCAATTCTTAAAAATTAGAAATTGCTGTAGCAGTATTCACTATAACTTAAGACTACAAGACTTAAAAAACTAACAGTTACTGAAAAAAAAATTAAAGAGCTACTTCAAAGCAAGCAAATCAGTACCATTACAAGATAATTAAAAAAAAAAATTTAACAAGCAAGGCTAGAGTTTGATAAATTCCATCCTGTGATCCATTCTTGTGCATTCTTCACTTCTTGAGTCACTCCCAAAGCCATTTGTATTGTTACTCCTCGACCAAAAAGGACCAGAACAAAAAGTTTACTTCGCGTGTTCCCATAGGAAACTCAGCTTGGTTAGTGTGTCAGGCACTTTCTGAGATACCAGCCCACCCCTCGAGCCCTCTCAGCAACTCTACAGGCCAATCACAATGCAAGTTCAGACAATACCGCTGTATAGAGAGAAAGGCTGCTATTAATGTTTAAAACAGCAAATGTTACTCATTTGAGCATTAAGTTGCAAAAGCTGTGGCAAAAAACATTAAAGTTAATGACTTCCACACATGACCACGTAACAACCAGAAATCTGAGAACATTCAAATGTTCTAAGACATCTCCTTTCAAAGTATGTATGTATCTGTTTTGTTTGTTTTTTTGTGGCAGATTTACAAATAGGTCTAAACCACTCCCACCCTACCAACCAAGTCTTTCTGAAGTTCTGTAGGCAGAGTAAAAGTTTTTCACCCAAACTGGCTTTTTAACTTCTTACCTAAAGGATGATTTACAGGTCAGTATCAAACCAGGCCAGCTGATTGCTGTCACCTGGAGGCAGCCCATCCATGAGGTCCTGGGCGTGCCCCAGATCTGGCAGCCCATCAACTGGATAGTCAGCACCAGGGTGGTGGCCACCCATCTCATGCTCCATCATGGGGTCCATTCCCAAGGCATCCTGGCCATATCCACCAGAGTGAAAAGAACGATAGCTGGGGTCTAGGAGAGTCAGGGTGGCAACAAAATGGGCAAGGGAGTGAGAGGAGAAAGACACAAGTTACCACTGAGGTTAGGGTTAGGGACGTGGAAGGACTACGTACTTTGTCAGAAAGCACTGCTCTCTAGCCTCTTCATCTTCTAGCTTTCTTCAGCCCTGTAATTACCCAAGGCCAGGCCACCCACTCAGTTCTAGTTACGCCTTCAGTTCACCCTGAATGTTTTGTATTTCCCTAGCCAGAGACAAGTTCCTCAGGAGGAAGAGCAGCTTCCACTGTACACGACCACCCAGGCATCAAGAAGCCATGGGCAGGAGGTGAGGCAACAACAAGGAAGTCTGGCAGATGTAATCTAGCTGATGAGAAGTCCAGGTGATGCCCACAAAGGTACTGAGAAAAATGCAAGACATCATTCCCAATTGAACTTCTATATATTTCATCTTAAAGGTTGACATTTGTATGTCTGTCAAGGAAAGAAGCTATGGGCTTTACTTATTTAAGAATTAGGAAAAACAAGTTTTAAGATTACAAATTTAAGATGAATAATTACAGTGATTGGTGGTCTACCCCATGTTCCATCTCCATTCCCAAGAGTGGAATTAGCTTTTCAGAAAAACCCGACAATACAACACAACATACTCAGCCCAGACCTGAGCTTGGGGACACAAGTTTCCCATACTCTCATTTCCTGGGTGGGTTGTAGACCCAGATATTATAGCTTCTCTGATGACACACACACGAAAAAAAGAATAGCCAGAAATCTGGCAGGAGTGACAAGTGTTTGTGGTGTGATACTGTTGAAGAACTGACTTTAATTGCTGCCACTGCTTGCTTTCCTCCAACACTGGCTTCCCAGGTAAGCAAACTAGCTCTTTGATAAAGCTTGATCTAGAGTTAATCGAGAAACATGAGACACATACCATCCTGGCGATATCCAAGGGGCTCTCCCTGGGCACCAATATCAAGTCCAAGATCAGCAGTCTAGATAAACAGGCACAAAACAGGGAAACAAAATGAAGAGGCTCAACTTAAAGTACACTCTTAAACTTTATAGAAATACTTCAAAATGTAGAAGTATACAATAGATACATCAGACTCCACTCCTCAAAGATTAACCACAATACTAGAAACATGTTTTCCCATTGCACACAGTCTTTTAAAAACTCACAAATTTATCCTTTTAGTAAATACATGTCAGTGCTTACTATGTGCAGGCCCTGTTCTAGGTGCTAGAGATACAACCACCAACAGGACATGTTCTATGGAGGCCGACTCATAGCCTGTGCGGAAGCTGCCAGTAACCGAGATGGAGAAAATTATGACAGAACAGGTTTGTGAAGGAAGGAGGTGGATGGGGAAGTTCAGAGCTCAAGATGGAACATGTCAAGATTGCCTGTTAAAAGCCCAATAACACATTACTCATCATTTGGCTTTTTTTTTAAAACAAATAATATGTAGGATCTCTTTCCATTCAACTGTATATTACTATGTACATTACTATGAATATTAGTTTTAACTTCAATGAATAACTGTGCTGAGGAATACACTAAAATTCATAGTAATTCTACTAGAAAAGTAGTGATAAAATGACCCACTATGTTTGATTGCCTCTTTAATTTTAATCTCCCTCCCTGTGAATCCTAAGGTTCAATAAGCAGTTAGTTCATTCTAAGCAAACTTTTGAAAGCTGTAGTTCTCCTTCAGTCGTTGCCCACATAGCATGATAAACGACTACTGAAGTGAAGGACAGTCAGCAGCAATGCACGCAGACATAGTGTTCCGAGGGAAACACGAATTGCCCTGCCTGCTCCTGCCAACTACCCAATACACACACTCGCACCGCCTACCTCATTCCAAGCCATTGGCTCTGTTCTGAAAAGAGAACTGGTCAGCTCCACGGAAAGCCGCTTCTTATAGTCCTGTGGCTTGTCCTCAGACATTCGGAACAACACAGCAGCTGCATACGTTGCTGGGATGACAGAAACAAAGACTCTTAGGAAAATGGAGGCATCACTGTATGAACCAGCTGGAGGTCCTGGTTCCTCTTCTACTTACCCACACCTTCATTCCTCGAGTGCAGCAATTCCGTCAGGGGAGCCGTGGCTCCCTCGGCTTCAATAGCTTCTGCAGCCTCCTTGTCCTGAGCAAGTTCACAGAGGACCCCTGCAGCGACTCTTTGGATATTTTCAATGGGAGAATAAAGCAGCTAAGGAGAAAACACACACAAAAGCCTAATTAAATTAAAGCATAGCAAGCACCCCATTGTAGTGCAAACATTCCCAACTGAGTATGAATGGCGTTTTCACTACTTGTATTAAAGCATAGTCGTGCCCTGCTTAGCGAAGGAGTAAGTCTGAGCAGTGCATGTGAGCATCAGAGCACACCTAACCTGGATGGTCAGCCCACTGCACCCCTAGGCCACACGCCCATACAGCACGTTCCTCTACTGAATGCCGCGGGGAACTGTAACACCATGGTGAATGTAGATTTGCTTGCACCAGCATCACCACAAACACGTAACATATGCTATAACAGTACATTATCATGGGGTGACAGGAATTTTTCAGTCCATTATAATCTTAGGATACCACCAACTGATGACAGAAATATCATTATGCACTTGACGGTATTCTCTAAATTATTTTCCAAAGTGTGTAATGCTCTAGGGCACTGGTTTCCTAGAATATTTTTTGGCTACAATCCCTTTCTCCAGAGATAGTTTCCATTGAGCTAAAACTTGGGAACCCAGAGGCAAGTGGGGGTTGGCTTTGGCAGCAAGACCAGTTCTCGTGCCTCTGCGATTGAGTACCTAACAGTGGAGCAAATCAGCTCCCTCTTCTTGCCTTCAAATCCAACGTTTCTCCTACTGCCCCCAAAATGAAGGGAATTTTTATAAAATTAAATGTATTCAGCCTAAAGGACCTCACACGATGAGATTCTATTTTTCATGCTTTGGTAGGGGGACATGGGCAGAGTATTATCATTTTATAAATGGTGACAGATACAAAAATAAAGGACAGACATTTCATTTTCATTTAATTTCCTGAAAGTTTGCTTATTGTTAGAAATATTATGAAATATTATGACACATAAAATCTGGAACACCTCACTTCAAACCAACATACCTGCACAAACAGTGGAATGGTATTCAGTCCTCTGATTACGATTCGGTTGTGAACATCCCGAGCTAGGATGTGAAGGGCTCCAGTGCAACCTTCAACTATTTCCTCCATGCGGACGCCCTCCTACCAAAAGAAACATTGTTAATAAATAGGGCAAACTAAGATTTTCTGTTCTGAGTAGCAATTACTAGTCACACCATACACCCAAAGTTTTCAAGCATTTGCCGTTAGTTGAGGAATAAAGGAGGATTCCATTAAGTTGGGTGTCACTTAAAGGGGCCTCATGGAGCAGCCCTTTCCACACAGTGCTTCCTGATGCCTCTGAATCCCAAAGGGAACTTTCTTACAGTGAGGGCGCCCACCACTCCAGGGAAAAGGGAAATTCAAAGATGAGAAAGCAATGCTCAGACTACTATGTCAATGTTTTTCTTTCATATGCTCCTTATACACCTATGTATATTCGGTGAAAACTTAGCTAGGTTTTATCACCAACTACTAAAATTCTACTGAGCTGCCAGCAGAAAATTCACTCCTCACCTCCTCTAGACTGTTCAACTGAAGGCCTGTATGAGAGAAGAAAGGTAGCTTTTGCAAAATATAAATACTATGTGCTTTCCTTATTTCTGAATTTTACAAGTTATAATGCCCTAGCTGGTTTGGATCAGTGGATAGAGCATTGGCCTGCAGACCAAAGGGTCCCTGATTCAATTTGGGTCAAGGGCACATATCCAGATTGTGGGCTCAATTTCCAATAGGGGACGTGCAGCTTATCAATGATTCTCATCGATGTTTCTCTCTCCCTTCCCCTCTGAAATCAATAAAAATATATATTTAAAAATTTTTTTAAAGGGTTATAATTCTGCTCTTAGAAACTGTATTTTAAAAGAATATATTTTTACCAGGAGGTTCACGGATCCAGTCTCAACCACTGAGCCACACTAGCCGGGCACAACAAATTTTTAGAACAAATCCTTTTCCTAAATTCGAGATCGAAAATAAAAGGTGCCTTTGCACTTTAATAAGCCACCTCATAGGACACAGCCCAGTACCAGAAGTAAAGAATGGAGAAAGCCCCCTAGTGAGTGAATACACAAAGCAACTAGCAAGAAGGTGTTCCCAAAATCTGTTCTGCGAAGTTCCATCCTTATTTCCTAAAGTAACTAAATTAAAGAAGAGAACTCTCTGAAGGTCTGAGTCTTAAATTCAGAGGATCCAGAATGTCTTTATTTGTAATGAAGTTAGTATTAAGACTGCAAACTTGGTATCAAAAGCTTTCTGGGTAAAGATTCCAGAAATGCTGTTATTAAAATTTGTTGGCAATCTTGTATCTGTGGAAATAGTTTAAACCACTCTAGGAAGAGACAGTAAATGGTGTGTTAAATATTTGTAAGGTAACACTCATGTTGTAATAGAGAAGAGGCTCTGAAATCAGAGTTAAATTCAAATTGTGGCTCTGTTGCTTCCTAAGAAGTAAGCCTTTGTGTGGATGAAATGAGAAAACGTTGTAGGAAGTACACAACCTCACTCTCCCTTTGTAAGCCTGACAATGCAAAGATGCAAAGGGGATGTCATAGCAAACATCACTAGAGGCCACTTTATCTTCTCAGCAGCCACAAAGCACGTCAGTTTTTTAGCCATTAGCAATCAGCTCTTCAGGCAGAAAAGGAGGAGGAAGCAAATGATGGGTTTATGTTATCTGTCACTAGTAAGATTTACCCACCACAAACTGCTGCTGTGTTCCACCCATAGACGTACGACGCTGGGTATCCTGATGTGCACGCACCAACAGCTGGACTAGTCGTGGAATGGCGCCCTGCTCACGCAAAGGTGCATGATTTGCTGGACAAAGAGCAAGATTTCGAATCAATCCAACAGTCGCCTGTAGATAAGAAAGAACAAAGAACTGGCATACAAGTCAACAAAACCATTTATAGCCTAAAGTTCCCACCACACTAAAATTACTGGTCTCACTGACTACACAGACCTTCAGAACCCCATCCCAGCCACACTTTCTGGGCATCGATCCCTCATGCTGAGCAGCCATCCAATAGTTAGAGGCGGCTCCTTTTTAATTCTGTGACTACTTTAGCAATTTACCTTTATCAGAGGCCAATGGGATGGTGGGTGTAGAAGTTTCACCACAACTGGTAGTCCATAGTGAAGGCGAACAGCATTCTGGGCCATCTCTGCTTCCTGGTGTCGGCTGGTCAGATGACGAAGAGCACAGATGGCAGGCTCAGTGATGTCCTCCCTGTCACCAGCACGAAGGACGGTACGCACAAGAGCCTCAATACCACCCACTTGGCACACCATCATCTTGTTCTTATAATTATTGCAAGTGAGATTAGAAAGGATTCCCGCTGCACAGGTGACCACATTTATATCATCTGAACCCAGCAGCTGAACAAGAGTCCCAAGAAGACCTTCCATCCCTTCCTATGGAAACAGAAACAGATGCTCAGTACACACTCATCTGGACTCTGTCACTAAGGCACCGGCTTACTCAGAATTTACCTGTTTAGTTGCAGCATCTGAAAGGTTCCTAAGAGTCCAAAGACAGTTCTGAACAAGACGCTGACTTGGATCTGTCAGATGAAGTCCTAAAGCTTGCATTCCACCTAGAAGATGAAAAAAGGTCTAAGACAATGCCCATTAGCTAACAATTCTATCAGCACTATGTGTCTTCTCTGGTCTTGGACGGTGTTCCCCCTCCCATGTAAATCCTTTATTTCCTTTTATTTTCTAGGATACTGTCCAGTTGCCAGTTCATTTCAACTTCTGTCAAATATCTATGTTCCTTCCCTATGTGGAAAAAGTTTTCATTATTTCCATTATTCCCATGTAGGTAATATTCCTATTATTTATTTCATTTCAGCTATTCAATCATTTCAATATATATGTTCAATACTATTAATCTACCAGTGAACTACCAGTGAACAAAATGTTATAAAATCCCTACTCTGGTCTAATTGGAGGCGAACAATAAACAAATATACAATTAATAAACTAAAAGTATGTGTGTGTGATGATATTAAGTGCTGTAGGGAAAAACAATATGAGGTGACCTGATCACCTCAAATGAAGGTGACATCTGAGCAAAGATCTGAAGGCATTAGCAGATGCCTAGGTAAGAATAATCAAAAGAATGCACTAAAATGCTTTCACCAGAGCTGCATAAGGGCACTGACTCCCAAGGGTCACAGCCTTCTGTCACCAAGGACCCTAATGAAGGATATTTACACTGGCAGGTGTCTAAATGGAAGCTCAATTCCCCATGTGCTGGCTTAATAACTTCACCATCTCCCTCCTATTAAATCACTTCTGAAATGTGGTGAAATACTCTCTCTTGTTTCCTTATTCAACTTTTCAGGTATGTTTTATTTCCTCAAAGTAGGTTAGATCTACTTGCCATATCTCATGGCACTCTATTTTTCCTTCATAGTATTTATCCCAACTCTAATTAAGTTTACCTCCCCTACAAGACAAAGGTCATCCCTATCTGGTTCCTTCCTCATAGCTCCAGCTACTAATTGGTGACCTTAGTAAGGCTGATACTCAGTATTTGTTAAATGACTAGATTCCCTTCTATCTTCTCTCCGTCCAAGATTTCATTCCCTCCTATTAAACTCTGAAAGTGGATCTGAACTCCAGATGCTCACCAGACTTTGCACATACATTCTGTCAGCAGGTCTCGGGTTGAAGTCCCTCCCTTGAGAAGACTGAGGTACCTCCCACCTCACTGAGGCCTTTCCCCCCTCACCATGACTAAGAAGGCAACTCCCCAATCTGTAGCCCAACACCCCCATGTCCTAGCACCACACATCCCAGCTATCTTCTGACATCTGAGTCACTGAATGTCACCGCCTTAAATGGCTTTACATCTTTCCTCTTCCAGTTTTACTTTGAAACTTGGTTTGAGTCCAGATACATGTAATTAGCTGGGTTATGGGAAGGAAAAAGGATGCTACATAGTTGAAGAGTAACTATCGTTATAAAGAAAAGCAAGAGGCCCTACTGCAGACCACCAACGTGCCCACAATACAAGCTGCTCCATTAAAATTACTTAAAGGGAAAAGAAAAAGTGTTTTTCATGTGAGACCATTTGCTCACTGCCTACAGAATACCAGTGCAAAACACTGCTCCTGAGTATCCACTAACAAATCAAGAAAACGACTTTGCTGCATACAATGGAACATGCTGTACCATAATTTCTCCTATATATTCACATGTCTACTAGCAAAGCAAATCAGGTTTGCCCAAAACCAAAATTAAAAACAAACTTTATCAAGCCAAGTATTCGCTGTCATTTTCTATGATTAATAAGAACTCTGTCTAACCTAGGCTTCAAGAGCACCAATGCAAGTGTGTAGCGGAACACATTTTGTCTGAATGTGATCTTGGCTGCAAACTGAATAGGACCATCTACTTGCAGCCCATTAAGGTCAAGTTCTATTACCTTTTCCTAAGAAAGGTAATCTAATTAGAACTGCAGATGCTGTGCACATGAGAACTTAGAACAGACATGCATACTTACCAGCTTCTACAATAGCTGGTTTATTACTAGAGCAGACAGACAGCACCTTCAGTACTCTGCTTGTGGTCCACAGTAGTTTCTCGTAAGTGTAAGTCCTCATTATATTTACTAAAGCTTGAGGTCCACCACTAGCCAGGATGATCAGCTGGAAGGACATGTACATATTGTTAGTTGTGGAATCTGTCATGTTATATTACCAACATATTTTACTATACAAAAATTTCAGCCAGCTTGCCATTGACTTATATGTATTCCTGGACCACGTAGCCCATACTCTCATATTGGGGCCCTATTTACCCCTCCTTCTATAGCATTCCACTCAAATTCAGGTATCCTAGTCCTCCCAAGAACATAGCAACTCTGGCTCAATTTTCTTCTTCCCACAAATGATAGCAAAAGAAAAAACAAAACAAAACCCTATTGGTATACAACAGTAATGCCCAGATATGAAAATCTCATTGGTTGAAAATTTACAGAATAGGCACTTTAACTCCTAATGTTCATTGCTTTTCCTAATCATATCGACCTTACAAAGAGATGATATACCATAAGCATCCATTATTGCCCTTTACTTCCCTACATACTCCCACCTCCCAATTCTACCCCAATTTTCTAAAAACAAATCTTATCACTTCATGTCTCTGCTGAAACTGACTTGACTGCCTCACACTGCTCTTTTAGCATGGTCTACAAGGCCCAGTGGGACTTACTCTATCTCAGTAGTCCCACCACAGATCTTTGGCTTTTAGTTACTTTTTGCTTTTCTTAAATTTCCAAAATTAGCCATGTTCCTCCTTCCGTAGGACTTACAAAGATGCATTTCCTGTCTATGACCTTCACCTAGTCAATCTCTCTCATCCTTGAGAGCTGAACTATTATTCCTCCAAGAGGTCTCCCTGAACCTTCAAAACAGGGTATGGTTCACTTGTTTTCCATAGCGCCTACTTTTCCTCCTAACATGTGAATTAAATAGTAACTTGGCTATTATTTCATGCTATCTCCCACCCAAAAATGAAAGCTCTAAGAGAAGCCTACCTGCTATACCCCTATTGCCTGACTTAGTCCTTCACACACTCAAATATTTAAAGAAACAGAGATGTTTAATTTTTCTAGGATATATACTAAGGGTGAGGCATACAATGAATTCCCAAGAGTCCACAGAGGATATGACATTGGGGGGGTCTCCAATGCTCCATGACAACCACATTTGGAACAATTCACTTACCTTGCTTTCTTGATTGCCGTAAGCTAAAATCTGAAGGCAGTCTGTTGTAATAGCCAAGAATTTAACATTTGTTTTGTTGAGCAAAGCAACCATTTTCTGCAGCCCACCAGCTAAACGCACTGCCATTTTAGCTCCTTCTTGATGTAATAAAAGGTTGTGGAGAGTTGTAATGGCATAAAACAATACAGAATCCACTGGTGAGCTGGAGGGGGGGGAGGGAGGGAAAAAGCCTCATCAGAAACGGTGTGATTGTGCTCTTCTTCTTGAAGCTTTGAACATTCTGACCACGTTTTCTTACCCAAGCATCTTCACCAGGGCAGGAATGCCCCCAGACTTAAAGATGGCCAGCAAGCCCTCCCGATGATGGGAAAGATTGTGCAAGGTCCCAGCAGTACAACGAGCTGTTTCCACATCATTTGTATTCTGCATGGTACGTACAATAGCAGACACCATCTGAGGAGAACGCATGATGGCGTGTCTGGAAGCTTCCTTTTTAGAAAGCTGATGAACCATAACTGCTGCCTTATTAACCACCACCTATAATGTACAGGAATTAAGAGACAGCATTAGTCTTCAAACACTAACATTAGATAGACATTCTGCGACTCCTTCCTTCAAAGCAGGTTAAAAAGCTAGCCATGTCATTGCTAACCTGGTCCTCATCGTTCAGCAGTTTTGTCAGTTCTGGGATTGCACGTGTGGCAAGTTCTGCGTCATCTTGGTAGTTAATCAAATTTACAACAGCATGTTTCAGCATCTGTGATGGTTCAGCCAAACGCTGGACGTTGGTGGGATGAGCGGCATCAAACTGGGTAGATGGGATCTGCATGCCCTCATCTAATGTCTCAGGGAACATAGCAGCTCGTACCCTCTGAGCTCGAGTCATCGCATACTGTCCATCAATATCTGGAAAGGGTAAATTCAATACTCACTATCCACAGTTCAGCATCCCCTGAATATGTACTGATCTAAACAGTACCGTGCGGTGACATTGGAATCACTCCCCTTTCTTTACCACACCTTTTTATTACACATTAGCTTGTAGAATAACTAATTCTCAAAGCTGCATGGTGACTTCCAGTAAGGCAATCATACTCTTTACCTGCTACTTGTTCTTGAGTGAAGGACTGAGAAAATCCCTGTTCCCACTCGTACAGGACTTGTTGGGTAGTATCCACATCATCTTCCTCAGGATTGCCTTTACCACTCAGAGAAGGGGCTGTGGTAGTGGCACCAGAATGGATTCCAGAGTCCAGGTAAGACTGCTGCTGCCAGTGACTAACAGCCGCTTTTCTGTCTGGCTCCATGGCCATGTCCAACTCCATCAAATCAGCTGTAAAAAACAAACAGTATCAGTATTACTACCACTGTAATGTAATTTTAGTTTTAAAAAAAAAAATCTGTGATATGACCCATTGAAATATTTTAAAAATAAAGTTAAATTTGAAAGACAGCCTAAGAATAAAAGAATAAAAGATAGCCAAGATTCGCTTGGTGACAAAATATCTACACTCTGAGGGGATCACCTAACAGTTACTCACTGAATCAGTGGAAGAATGGTACTGCATCCAGTCTCCAGAGCAGTCATCCAGACTAGATTCCTGCTGGTGGCTTGTTTGCTAGTTCACCAAGCCATTAGGAGGAGTGAGCAGAAAATGAAGCAAAAGGTAGCCTGATGAGTAAGCAGGGAGAGAGGAAAGCAAGGGGGATCTGAACCAGACTGGGTTAATGGCAACGAAGTAGAGTCCCAGTTCACTAACTCATGATACAAACCTTGGGTAGCCATTGTCCACGCACAATTTTCAAGAACGATGTATGGTGTACTTCAGATACCCTAAAAGAGTTAAACGGAAATCATTAGGATTTAAAATTAATTCGATTTTAATAATCATAAGTCATTAGGATGGTTTGTTAAACATCATGGACTATAGCCACAAAAAGCCCCAAATCATCTTTTACCCCGTGACACAGTGAAACACAGACCTATGGTCTCCTCGGACTTCTCAACCACAGCTCCATCACTGCTGAGCCTATCAGCGAACACTCCCCTTTAACAAGCACTTCCTTTTACAGAAATACAAACTACAGATATTCGGGATGTCAGCAAGTATCATTACTGAAGATGACAAAGAAGGCATAAAAGCACTACTAATGAAAGCCAAGGCGAGGAGGGGACTATTCAAAATCAACTCGAGTTCCAAAAGGCCTCTCACATTTTTAGCTTCTCTCCCTGAAAAGTTCATATATCCTCTTTGGACAGAAGTCCAATGGGATTCTTAAAAAACATCCAATTTTCACTTGAAGGATCGTTTTCTGTTATAATATGATGCCATCTAAAATACCTTCAAGAAAGTAATTTTGGTGACTGGATCAGAGAGCAATGGATTTTTTACTAAGAAGTAAAATTATTTTTCAAATGAAGGGTTTGCAACTCAAAAGCACAATTTTTAGTAAAGTTTTTCTAAGTTTAAATCTGAAGCAATGATTTATTATAAAAACAAGTACTACTGACTATAATGCTATTTGATCAATATAAAAACTTAAAAATCATTCATATATATGTATAACAGTCTTAGCATTTGATTTATGTCTGAATTTTAGCTTTATGGCATAATTATTTAGGAAAACAGAATCACACAGGGAACTATTTGCAAAAAACAACAAATTTCCTTTATTACAAAATCTGTCCCTAAACAAGTTCATCTTCACTATAAATTAATATATTAGGTAGATATGGACTAAAATATGTGTGAACTGTTTTGTATCAATGAATAAAGGAGTTTACATATGCTTAAGGAAATTTGAAACTGCCCTCTCTAAAGTCCCATTTTCTTAGGCAAAGGAGCATGTATTGATAATCTCTAAATTTGCTCTTCCAGAACTAGATTTTTACAACCACATAGATCGCTTAACACTTAAAGCTGGCAAGAATTGTGGACACAATTGTTTCAATGTTCGTAGAAACAATTGACAATTTATACACAAGGCAAAGTGAAGGACAGAAAATAGTAAATATCGGTGATTCCAGTCAATAAGAATCTTGAATTTTAAAATACAGTTGACCCTGAACAATGTGAGGGTTGAAGCACTGCCCTCCGGCATAGGTGAAAATCTGAATATGACTGAAGTCTGCAATCTATAGGTAGATTCCCATTTGCCATCTGACCTTGGGCAGTGCAGGTTTGTACTCTGCAGGTCAACTGAAAAGTCAGTGTGTAAGAGGTTCAAGATCATGTTGTCCTCAGGTCAACTGTAACTTACGCAGCAGGATTATGTGTTTAATGTTTTAGGTCATTAGAGCTGGAGAGGGACACAGGAAAGGCATTTTAAATTAACACTCTAGGATGCAGCAAATGACCCTTGGACTACACTCTTGAGATATACTCTGCTGGAAAGAACCCAGGTTCTCTATCCACTGATGCTGTATTCCCTCGTATCTTTGTGACTGGCTAATCATTTTTCCAACTCTCTGGAAAAATGGTCCCTACTGCAGTCCCAGTGTATTTCTGGGAAAGGGCATTTAAAAGATGTCTATACTGAGCTCCACCTTCAGCCAATGCCACAGGGCTCAGAAACCAACTAGTCACATGAATGGGCTGCACAGCTATCTATGTAAGTAGCCTTTGGTATATCTGGCTTTAAAAAATAAAAATACTGATAGTATTTTTTCCTTGATAGTGTTGCAAAAGCAGCATATTTTAGCCATATTTATGTGGGCTGACCTAGTAACTTGACCATGATTTATAATGATTTTATGGAAAAAAGTTCTTGCCCAAAACTTGCAATATCCATTTGTATGTTAGGGTCTTCTCAATACTCTTATTTTTATAGCATTTTAAAAGTTATGCAAAATACATGAAAATTACTTTTGCTCTTCACTGCAACTTTAGGAAGTGAGGAAGGTATCAATCATTCCCTAACTGCTCTACAGATATACTCAAACTTACAAAAAAACCTGAGAATTACCCACTGAAGAAATTAAATATACTGCCCAGAGAGAACCAAGGCAGAATCATGCCCCAATAGAAAGCCTTCCTCATGGTTCCCCCTCCTGAGCTTTCAGCCAAGCTACCCTCCACTACACCCTGCCAATCATTAAGGGACTAACAAGCTCCCATCCAACCAAGGCTTGCCAAACACTTAAGAAAACCTTCAACAAAGAAAAAGTTCAAGAAAAAAAACAACAGAAAAAGTGACTTTTTTTTCTCTTAAGACAACTGAAAAATAGAGGTAGGTTAGAGAAAGAAACAGAATGTTTCAATTTATTACTTCCATGAAGTTTGGAGAGAATAAATTCAAAATTCAAAAACTTAGATAACTAAAGCTGAAAAGCACCAATCGCGATAAAGGGGGAAAATATGAATCTCTGTGTTCTGCCAGCTTTGTCATCACCAAGTGGTGCTTAGAAACAGGAAGGAGCCAGGATGGCTAATTTACCAGTCTAAGGAGGTAGTGGACACAGGCTTTCTTCCTTTTATTTTTAATACTTGCTATTTAAACATACACTTTCAATTATATATTTTTTGTAAAGAAAACCTCAAACCTCGGCTTTCTATTTGATTTAAACTCTACAAAGGTTTTAAAAAATATATATCATTTATATGTAATAATTTCTATCTACATAATAAGTTCATCCTGAACCATACGTTACTCAAGTATTACTATGAGTAATTTTTCCTTCAGCTTTTCTAATAGAACACTTAAGCAAGCAAGGTTTTTCTTTTCTGTTATTATGGAAATTTTCAAATATGCAGAAGAGTAGCTACAACTGTACAATGAACACCCACATCACCTATACTCAACTATTAATATCATGCCATATTTGTGCCTTTCTACAGAATGACTTTAAAGATAGATTTCAAACTAAAGTTACTTCTCCAGTTCCCATCAAGACAAAATGACCTGATTTACCTAAGATTTAAAAAAGTTCAAGCATTACTCACTGGAAATAACTTTGCTGTATAAAAACTCCAGTTATTACTGGCAGTTCTTGCCAAAAATTCACTTTTCCAATAATCTGCACTGAAGACCCAAAGCCAATTGTTTATTCTGCTTTAAAGTAAGAATATGCAACTCTAGTTCAGGAGCATAATAAATTTTTGGGATTTATTATGGATTAAATAAAGTTCTTAATTTTTAAGTCATAACTCACTCTAGTTTACTTTCTGCCTTTACTTTTCTCCTCGGCTCTGCATGTGTTGAGGAGTCTTCCTAGACTGACCAATAAAAAATACATATATATCGATATTTATATATATATAAACTACCCGTCACTAACACATGACATGCACTGCGGCCAGCCAACCAGCCAGATCAGGGCGGGGCTGGCCAGCCAACCTCTTGTAGCCCGTCCCCTCCCTGCCAGGCCCTGATGGAGCAGGCCAGGCAGACCCCACCTGTGCACAAATTCATTCACTGGACCCCTAGTATCTAATAATAATTTTGTTCCTCCAAAACACCTAACATTGATGCCTTTGGCATTATATTTCAATATGTAGGTGCAAAATGACAGAATCATGAACTGTCTACAGCTAGAAATGATTAGGATACTCCCCAAACGATCTTTCTTCATTTTATTCTCTATCTTATCCATAAAGTTATATTTTTAGTATAAAATGTTCCTTTGCCATTACCATAATGATATGCAGTCAATGACATTTTGATATGTTTGGTATTTAAATTTACTGTTAGGCATTCTTTTAATATAAAAAACAATTCCATGTATTATAGACCCTTATAAAACCCTTATCTGTAGCATAGCATATGGTGTGTCCTTCTTGAATATTTAGTTTGTCCTTCCCTATTTCGTTTGCTATTCAAATAATGCTGAACAATACAAATAATTCTCTTAATTTCTCTCACCCAGGGATTGCTTCAACTACTGGATTAAAGGGTAACTACTTTTAAGGCCTTTGATACATAGCTCCAAAATACTGGAGCATAAACTGATACAATTCTCACAGAAGGCATTATTGTACCCCTGGCCAGCTTACCAAGGGCTTATCAGCATCAACTGTTATTTCAGACACTTCTTAATAGCTCTGTCAGCCATCTAATGTATATTCACCACCCTACTGCAAAGCTCTTCTGAGTTATGAGAAAATAAAATGCTTAAAAAATTTCTGCTACATATATGGAAGCTTTTTGGCTTCCAGATTTTTTATGTTATATATTATTATTATTATTATTATTATTTTACAAAGAGGAAGGAACAGGGGCAGGGTAGAGAATTAGAAACATCAATCAATTGCTTATGCACACCCCCTAATGGGGATCGAGTCCACAACCAAGATATTTGCCCTTGACAGGAATCAACCAGACCCTTCAGTCCGCAGGCCGACACTCTATCCAAACCAGTTAGGGCATACTCAAGAATTCTCTTCAATGACCACTAATATAACACATTTAGGCCAATTTGTGTATGTCGGAGAATATGATTTTACTCTTTAAAATAATTAATTATGGTAATATCCTTTACAGTTATGATATACTGTTAGTCTCACCAATGAATTTATGATCAGTGACAATCCTAAAATAGTCCCAATCCTTCAGAAAAACACACACAAACTTTCACTTTAGACAAAAGGCAGACAGTTTCTCTCCAGGTTATATATTAATATTTTAAAACACATGCTACTTCAAGATACATACCAAATAGCCTTTCTCTACACAGGCACATTTTTATAATTTCCAAACATAACTTTATGCCTTTTAGGTTAAAAAACACACACACACACAATAATTCATGTTGTAAGTAGTAAAAGTACAAATATATACTAACTTCCT